TAAAATGAAAGGCTGAGCAGATCAAGGCTGACTGTTTGATCATAATGGGTCAAGTACTGCACAGGCCTGGTGCATCTTGGTGCAAACCTCTGGCAGATTGGGCATTTTATGAACATATTAGCATTTCAATAATTAAGAACCCCATTTTTCTAGAGGCACGCCCCACACTGGGGTCTCCTCTGTCTAGCCACGTCAAGTTTTCCAGTCTCTCCTTAGCTTTACTTGGTACAGCCAGGCTCCTGTTCCCTAGTCCTAATGTAAAGGGAGGTAGATGTCTCTTAAGCTACCGACACTCCCATATTCTCTCAACCTTGTTTACTTATAGTCAGCCCCTCCCTCCAGTTCCCAGGTTCTCCAAACCATTCATAGGCATTGATTTTCCCCACAATGCTCCATTTTTCACTGCCCAATTCCCTTCCATTAAGCATCAATCCCTTCCTCTTTCTCTCTCTTCTTTCTTATCCTTTGGATTCTTCCACGGTGCCTTCAGAACTTTGCTCTGTAGTTTGCAATTTTCACTACATATCCAACTTTGTTTCAGAACATTGTTTCTACCTCCCTACCTTGACTAAAATTCCATTCTCCACTGAGGACAGCACTTCTCCTGCAAACAAAGATGGCTGCTTATTCCTCCACACTCTAGATACCTTCAGGTTGATGATATTCTTGCCCATTGTACTGTCCATTGCACCTTGACCTCCTCGCTAAAAATCCCTGCTGCTTTGATATTCCTGCCAGATAGCTATGCTCCAACTCCCCTCTTGCTGGAACCATCCATCTACTAATCTCTAGTCACAATCCATCCTTCATAAAAAGACTGGATTATTGTTTTCCCTTCCAGCCCCATGAACCTGGTTGATGTTCACATCTACACAGACATTCTACTCAACACCCTGACTGGATCTCTTTATTAAAATGAACTTTCCATTTCTCTACCTTAGACTTTCACTCCCAGAGTCACACCTGAAACCTGTCATAACAACCTTTTCCATCTCCAAAATCACAAAGTGTGTTCCTCTCTCATCTAATCTCCTATCCTTTATTGTCTGTAGTCCAGCCAAGCTCCCATCTCCAACACTGCTTTTTCCACCAGGACGGTTCTTGGATCTCACCAGAATCCGAGCTCCACTGACCCCTCTGCTTTCTCTATATCCACCAGCCTTCTAGGCTCATTTCCCTTTGTTCTCTACACAGCATCCATCCCAGTTTGAAAACTTTGATCTGGCCAGCAGCGTGTCAGACTTTATCCCGCTTTACCCTTCATTTGACATGTCTAGTCACTCCCTTTCCTTGGCTTTGGTGTCCCTACTACCCCTCTGACTACTCATTTTTAGTCCCCTTTGTTGGTTTGACCTTCTTTACCTAAACACTGACTGTTAAGACTTTCTCAAAGTTTTGTTATTGACCCAGTTTTCTTTGTACCATCCTGGATAATTCCAACAATCACATGGCTTAATTTACTGCCTGTGTATTTATGACTCCAGGGGTGAGGAGAGATTTATTAAATGAGATGACTCTGGGCTTGTGTGCCATGATCAGCACTCTAGATTCCAATTCTAATGTCTTTTAACTCTACAGTTCCACCATTCTTCCTTCCTATCTTAAGGCTTAGCTCTTCTGTTTGCTTAGAACATTCTTCACAAACTCTTCCTCCTTAATTTTACAAGTCTCAAATTCCTGCAGGCTTTCCCTCACCATGTAGTGTTTAGCCAGCACCTTTGTTCTCTAGTCTTTGAGTACCTTGTAGTTCTACTGTGATGCAGTTTTCACAATATAATTAAATAATACCTGGTTTAGTGTTTAATGTCTATCTCTCTGGTTAAAATATAAACCCACTGAGAATAAGGACTATGCCTGTCCTATTCATTGTTCTTAGTCCTTATCTCAGTGCTTTATTTTTTTATTTTTTAAAGACTTTACTTATTTATTTGAGAGAGAGCACAAGTGGGGGGAGGGCAGAGGGAGAGGAAGAAGCAGACTCCTCACTGACACAGGGAACACATGTGGGACTTAATCCCAGGACCCCGGGATCAGGACTTGAGACAAAGACAGATGTTTAACCTACTGAGCCACCCAGGAGCCCCTCTCTCAGTGTTTTAAATATAGCAGGTATTAAATAACTACATACTAAATTAATGGAGAAATGCATGAATACATACAGACTTAATTTTTATGACTTTTTCTTTGGCTAGCTTATCAATGGCTACAACAGTCACATGTTTATATGTTAGAAGTGATATGCAGTCACTTTTAACAGTAATAATATGTATTTGAAAGGAACACATATTTTAACTTGTTTTATCTATCAAAATATACACATTGCAAATTTTGCGGTTTTAAATAAATTCACTGTTGCAATCATTGCAAGCACTATAGTTATACAGTATCCCATATATTTCTATGGCCCAAGTTAGACTGGTTGCTATCTGTGATAATTATAAATCAAAGAATGGTTATATGAGGGAAATTGAGAACTTGGTATGTATACCCAGCGGCCCCATATTCCCTAGGCATGAAATTATGAACTGACAATAATGGAAGAAATAAAACTCTGTCAGGTACTGCTTCAACAATGTCAAGCCTTCAACCTAAAGATCAGGTCCAGAGGAAAACGAGAAAAATAAAATGTGTGCAAAGAATAGAGAGGAACAGAGATAAATTTGAACTGGCATGCATCATGCCTTTCTGACCACTCTATAGGTATAGTTCAAAGATATACCCTGTTTCTTTTGTGTAATTTCCACTTACCTTGTCATTGAAAATGAGTCATTATAATCCCATCTGCTAATACAAAATGGCTATTAAATTATTTTTCATGTTATTCTTAGCTTGTAGTTTGTATATTGCTTTTAGGGTTCCCACTGAAAGCAATGATCCAATTACAAGGCACTGAATATTTTTCTTATGAACAAAGAAAGGAACAAATAAATATTACCCAAAAAAGTATTTTCTTTCTTCATATCCATCTTTCATCTCACACCTAAGGCCATGTTGTTGGGAAAAAAATCATCCTTTTCCAAGCAATTCATTGAGATTCCTGGTTCGTGATTACATTTGTTCGTGTCCCCTCTCCCCAAGGGCGAGGCTCACTTTTCTTTAGAAAGTCACACAGCGCCTGTCTTGGCCCAGGGACTAAACATCATTCACATTTTAAACAACACGAAGTATCCCAGATAACGTCCTTTATTTTTCACTTGGTAAAAAAAAATCACTCTCCTAATGGACTAAAAAAAGTGTCCTCTTCTCTGCTTATATAAACAACACAGCCTGTACTTTTTCACTTCAGAAAAGTGAATTCAAGGGATATGTGGGAAGATATTTCAAGTGATATTTGGGAAGAAATTTCCCATTAAGTAACTTTCTTCCTCAGAATTAAATTACACTTAAGAACAGTATTAACAGTAATTCAGAAACTATACATTAAAATAAATAAATGAAGTTCCAAATCCAGTCATAAGAAACACATGTTTGCGTATTCAAATTATCATTCCAGGAGAACATGTAATCCTCTATGCCATCTGTCTTTTAGTGTGTGTGTGTGTGTGTGTGTGTGTGTGTGTGTGTGTGTGTGTGTGTTTTCTCTTTTGTTTGTTACATGGTTGAATCACCATAAATAATTCAGAAGGTTATTAAGTGGTTTAAAAAACCTAATAAATTTCTCATTGTGCATTATAAAGACCCAATTAAATGGAAGCAAATGTTTGGTTTTTCTGAGGAAAATATTTAAACAAGCAAGAATCTAAACTGAAAAATAATTTGAAGTTGATCATCTGCATAAACAGTCCTCCCTTTCAGACAATAATCTGAGGTTTCATCAAATCATCCATCTATACCAATAACCTGCCTTTTATGCAGAATATGTTCTTTATACAACCTGCAAGAGAGTCCCTTTGAGCTTGTTCCACCCAATCCCCACAAAACATCTTTGACACCTTTCCTGTCCCTTGCAGCCTTAGGGGCTTTGCCCAGCGCTGTGGTTGGCAGGCCTCAATTCATCAGCCCATCAGAAGCCCACTACCATCTCTCCCACTCGTCCCAGAGTTCCAGGCTGTGGTCCTCCTGTGGGAGACGCTTTGCTGTATCCCTTACCTCTTCAGTAAGGGCTTTCCCCCCTCAACCATGCACACCTTCTTCAAATGGGACCATGCTGGCTGGACTCTGAGCTGGCAGCTAACTGGGGACCTCAGCAATAACAGGTGCTTACATGTGGCTTGACACTTAAGACACTCTTGGCCCAGTTGTAGTGAACAAGAGGGACAGATACCTCTCTCCCCTGCTGCAAGTATCACCAGAAGTTCAGGACATTGAAGAGTTGGGGTTTTCTATCTGCCCCGCCCTTTCCCTTGGATCAGAGAAGAGGCAATTGGTCCATGAAAAAGAAATATGCCTGTATCTGCTTCCCTAGTTGTTCTGATTAAAAAAAAAAAAAAAGACAGCTTTCCATCTCAGCCCTTCAAGAACTTCTTCTACCTGCTGAACTTACTGGGACCAGATCCAAGAAAACAAATCCCTCCCTGCTGGAACTATTAGAGATTTCATCAGGCATCATATATCAAAGATTGTACTATGCTCTCTGGGAAAGAAATCATTTATTGTTAAGACTCTTTTAAACCTTCATTTTCAAAGACACTTTTCCAGAACATATTATGTATTAAAGAATTATAAGTGTGCATATATTTCAGTTGCTTCTTCCTCCATCTTTCCTGCTGAAAACAGGGAACTAGACAATTTGACATCTAGAAGTCCAGCATCCTGATTTGATGTTGATTTGACCACCCTCTTGGGAAAAAGCAAATCCTAGCTCATGGGAGCAGGTGGAACTCAATATAATCACACACTTTGTCTGATTTAAACAAGTTTAAGAATTTTTCTTTAGAGTACTCAGGGTAAAGAACCTCTTCACACCCTTTTGTCAAGCTCAATTCAATCTGCTTCTTGCTATTCTAATCTTCTATAAATTTAGCCAAAAATGAAACGGACACTTGAAGCAAGGCTTAACCAATATATCTTTATTTGAAAATGAGGCCAGAAGAGACAGCTAATCTGTACATTTGTAAATCTTAAGGAGATAAATGAGAAGTCCGACTGCCCTCAAGCCCTCAAAGATGTTAGCGATGTCACTCCAGATAATGGACAAGCATGCCAAAGGGTCTGCTATTTTAGAGAGGCTATGGCAAGTGCATCCCCTACAAAATACCAAGGTCAGCTTACTTATAATGATTCATGGACACTGGAACAATTCTGTATATAAATAAATTCTCTTCTTTCTTCTTATTTTGCCTTTCTGCAAATTGTAAAATTATTAATCCACATGACTATTGTTATAACTTTCATAGCTCCTATTTTAATTGGAAAATCATAACTCTTAGACACTGTGGGGGCAATCTGCGGCCAAAGGACAGGAGAATTAGTCTTGGTTTGAGTTATAGAAACAGAAATTACAGTAGAATGAAGTATGTGACATGTTTTTTGTTTAGATTAGTTTTTCATGAAATTAGTTTTTAATCAGTAGACATACGAAGAGCATTTGAAAAGTGTCCAGCAGAACAACACTTGCTGCAGATGGCAGATGGGAACTGCAGTGTACCATATAATAGCTCTGTATCTAGGAAGAGTATTCTAAATTCATTTCTTAAAAATTACATTTGAAATCATTTTAACCTTCTGGGTATGAAAACACAGCCTTCCATATATGTCTCTGAAAGGTATCTATCCTGGCAACCTGATGTAAAACACTGGCACATTATTATTTGAGCTAGAAATGATTGTGATGAGTATGATTAATCCCACTCTTTCTTTAAGTATTCCCATTATATGAAATGTTAAATGGCATGTGTGCCACTGAAGTGTTGCTAAAATGTAAAAATCTCATGCTGTTATGAACAGGTGTCTAACACAGGATGTAGTCCTTGAAGGTTGCTTCCCACTTCTTCACCTCAACTCAAGCTTGGCAACATTTCCTCAAAACTTCCCATGAAGGCTGCCCTTCTGACTTCTTCCAAATCAGACACCCTATTCCCCATGCCTTTTGTCAAGCACTGCCTGGCACTACCATTTCACACCTTCTCTAAATTTCTACAGAACCCTGGCCTGCGGGACTCGATTCCAGGACTCCAGGATCATGACCTGAGCTGAAGGCAGTCGCTTAACCAACTGAGCCACCCTGGTGCCCCGAAAAATAAATCTTAATATTAGCACATCTTTAATTTGGGGGAAAATTATTTGTCATAAGACAATCAGCAAATCTTTAAATGGTACAAAAGAGTACCACAGTTATTCCTCATCTCACAAAGTATCATGAGGATCCTACTATATTTTATACTTTTGTTTCTATAAATTAACCTCATATTTACAACATCGTTCAGAACTTTGTAAACTTCTGGCTACGATTTCTTTGCTTTAGTAACTTGCCTATAATGACACCTAGCATACATTTCATAGGTGGAGTCATGTCGTTAATCCCCCTTTAGAATCACTTTTTAAAAGTCTGGACAGCACCGTTGCTCTACCAGTACAACCAGTAGCTGCCCTGACTCGGTTCATCCAGAAGGCGACGCTTGTGCTCAAGAGGTCATTAAGGGATAGAAGAGTGGTTTCTCCAATGCACTAAAAAAATACTTCATGGATTTTATTATTGAAGCATAATCTAGCAAAGACAGTAAACACATATGTTGGGAAAAAAACCGAGCTCTCATGCAACTTTGCAGAAAATCTCCCTTACAGAGTCATTTGTTCATACAAATAATTGTAACAGCTAACATTTATTTTGTGCTCACTAAGTGCCAGGTACCATTTTATGCCTGTTATATATATGAGCTCATTGAATTCTTCAGCATTTCTTTCCCAAGCACCTTCCAAGAGTATTTTCAGAAAAAGAAATGTTTTTGTTTTTCACCATATTGCTTCTTTGTATTATTTTAGCCATTTTTAGGAAGGACTGGTACACTTAATAGTATGTAGTTTTTTTTTCTTTATCTCTATTTAAAAAACTAAAAAGAGTTGAACATTAATTTGAGTGAGGTTTAAATGTAATGAGGTACTGGATTGGTTATAACATAATTATAAACAGCAATGAAAAAGTGTACATAATTGTCTTCATATTCTTTTTGCTTAGTTTGAAAATATATTGTTAATCGTGAAGGCTTCATTTTCCTAGTTGCTAGCATCACATAACACAGTATAAACTATGGTGAAATTCACCGTCACTGAGAGTATTTGTAAATCTTCATTCAATTGTCTTAAAAATTTCAAATTTTTGGCTGACATCTTGATGGGTGTGATTAGTTCATCTTCTTGTACTTTTTTCCTCCTAATGTGGCTGATGGAGAAATATGAGAAGTATGAAAATAGTCAGTTCTACTTTTTTTTATCACTGTTGCCTTTTGCTCATATTATAAATATAATATTTTAATAAATTTATCTTCTGAAGTATGTAGTACTTTTAGAAAAAGGCACAATGATAGTGCAATGACTTGATACACATTGAATGCATCTATGTAACTACTACCCAGATCTGGACATAGAATATTAATAGGCTCCCACCAGCTCCATCATACCTTAGCCCATCACATTTCCAACCCATCTTCCCCAAAGCTAACCAGTATCCTGACTTCTAATATCATAGATTAGATTTCTCTCTGGTTTGGAAGTATTATATAGTTTAAATCATAGAGTATATTCTCTTTTGTGTCTGGCTTCTTTCTTTTTATCCCTAATGTCAGAGTATTCCATTGTATGATTACACCAAAATTTATTTATCTGCTCTACTACTGAAGAACATTTGAGTTTTTTCCAATTTTTAGCTGTTATAAAAAACGCTGCCATGAATATTTCTATACATGTCTTTCTGTACACATATGTACACATTTTTTTCACATACGCATATGCTTCTGTAAGCATTTAATTGTTGGGTCATAGCGGGTATGTATACCTGGCTATAGGAGACTCCACAAAGTGGTTTTCCAGAATATATTCTCACCGGGAGTACACAAACTTCCAGTTTCTCCACAATCTTGCTATGATTTGGTACTGTCAGTCTTTTTACTTAATCATTCTATGATTCTATAGTATTACCTCATCATGGTTTCCATTTACATTTCCTAGATGACAAGATTAAATAGTTTTTCAATGTTTTATGGGTCATTGTGAGACACCAATTTTGTGAAGTAACTATCCAAGTATTTTGCCCATTTTCTTTATTGTGCTGTCTGTATTTTTGTCATTGATTGGTAAAAGTTCTTTACGTATTTGAATACAAGTCCTTTTTAATACCCTTTATCTGTTCTGCAAATAAGCCTCCTCACTTTGTAGCTTACTTTTTCACCCTCTTAATGGTGTCTTTAATAGTATAATCTTTAATTGATGGGGCTTTTAGTATTTTTTAAAAATACTTGTCCATTTTGTCAGATTCAATTTTGCTTAAAGTAGAAAATACAATTTGCAAACAACTTGACCAGGCTCATTGAATCTACAGCATAGTGCAATACTCTCAAATGGAGGGTGCTTAGTCAGGGTCCCATTCTCAGAGATACTCACTCTCTGGAAACAAAAATAAGATCCAGTGGCCAGAACTGTTCTATATTTTGAGGTAACAATGATCATCAACAGCTTCTAACTTTATTTTTAAAAACAAACAACAACAAAAAACAACCAGATGCTGTGTATCTCCTGATAGAAAATACAGAGCACTCATTATAGAGTAGTTTTCCCAGAAATTCAAACCTCAATCTATCACGCTTCAAAATTTAACTATCAATTCACAGGAAAACAAGTCAGAAGGATATCTCAGTAGAAAGCAACTCACAAGCAAAACAACTCTAGAATGTATGACATAAAAAATATATATTTTCTAGAATATCTGGCATGTGATAGACCAGGAAAGAAACTGATAGACAAAAATCTTATGTGAAGTATGAGGAACTGAGGAATAGAAGGTGTCTGGAAAACAGCAAAGTGCACTAAAACATAACAGTCCAGTTTCTATACAAGTTGCTCTAAATAGCTTGCAAAAGAAGAACCATTTCCACTCCTCCTCACTGGCAACCACAATCAGCAGAATTCATGTTTTGGGAAACTCTATAGAAGGAAGCCAGTTTCTCCAACAAATATGAAAAAAATAGGAAGAATTCCATACATTAAAAGAGACTTAAAACGTGTCATTCAACTGCAATGTGTGTACCTTACTTAGATCCTGATTCAAACTGTAAGAAGATATTTATGAGACAACCAGGCAAATCTGAATTCTAACATGATATGTGATATCCTTAAGGAATTACTGCTAATGTTTTCAGGTATGATAACTATATTGTTTGTTTTAAGAATCCCTACCTTTCAGAGGTATCCAATGAATTATTTCCTCATAAAATTAAATTAAATGATGTCTGCTTCTGTCTTCTCCCCAAAATATCCAGTGGGGCTGAATAGTGAGGGATATAGGTAGAATAAAATTAGTCTTGAGTTGATAGTTGATGAAGCTGGGTGCTGGATGTCTGGAGGTTCATTATGCTATTCTACCTTTGTATGTACTCGAAATTTTTCAGGATAAAAAGTTAAAAAATAGCTTGGCCTGACTATAGATCAAGACAATAGCAGACTTATGTACAATGTGAGGACACATAAAAAATATACTGTATTGTAGAGATTAGGCTATAGTTTCTTAAGTCATCTCATCTGCCTCAAATTGGAGTTGGTGGTTAGCACTGACTTGGCTAGGATGACATAACTGGATCCCTTACACTCTCAGAGGAGCATTTCAGAGACTTGACTCTACTTCTCCAGAAGCTACACAGGAAGCTTCAGTCTGGACAATGGTGCAGGGAGTTGGGGAGGGGAGGGGGTCAGGGAGTAAGGCTGCAAGCTAACAGCAGGGCTGAAAGGCCTGGAAGGATTTGCTGGTGGACAATAACACAGACCAGATCCTCTCATGTGGCCAAACTCACCATTCAACATGGCATTTGCTTTTGGTTAACTATAGGGAATAAAGAGAGAAAATGGTTGGGTCCAGGTGTCTTTCCCATCTATACCTGAAATTCTCACTTTATAAAAAACCAAGAATTTAGGTCTATCTCTTGATATTTTAGTAGTAGTGCATGTCTAAAGTAATGTATTGAGAAGAAATTAATTTTATTAAATGTAATTTGTATATTGAGCAGAGAGATTTTAAATTCATACTTAGAAAATACTGAATATGAAGTGTCATTCACAAACACACACAGACACAAATGTGTATATACATACCATTTAAAATTCTACAGAAAATACTTCAACTCACTCCCACGTTACTTTGAAAAGAGAGAAATTCAGTAGACAGTAAATCGATGATAAGGGGTATTTAAGAGCTGAGCATTTATCGATATAACACTAAAATCTAGCCTCAGGATCATCTAAGCACTCTAAATACATTAAAATCTCTACACAAATATGTGTGCAATCTGTCATTATCGTTTGCCAAATTAAAACTCAGCTGACAGAGAAACTATAAGAGTCAAAGCTGAGAAATGAAACTCAAGTACTAAAGGATTAAACAATATCGTCCAATGCAAACCAGACTAGAGTCTAGGCTAAAGGCTCATTGTTTTCAGACCTATGTCCAGATTCTTTTTCTTACTTGCCATTTTATTCATTTCTCTATATTTTTGATCTCCCACAGTCGTCAGAGCTGTGTATTACATTGCCTTTACTGAAATTACAGGGTTTATCTCAGTTTCTGAAAACTAGAAAGTGATGAGTGAGGAAAACTGAATAACCAGATAGAAAAAAAAGCACAGTATCTGTCAGTTCCTTCTTTTTTTCACATGTCAGAGAAAAGGTAAAATAACAGAACAAAAACAAGATAACAATGATAATCATATGGTTATTAATTAACACTTGACTCAGGTGGTGTTTGACTTAAAATATCATTTTATTTTGCTTTAAAGGTTAGGCTTTAAACAAATACTTGACAAAGCAACAGGGAGCTTGTGACTGTACTTTAGCAGTAATTTCATTTTCCCACCAGATGGCAGTCTTCCCCGGATCTTTGAAGCTGTCTTCAGAATCCAGTTATTCATTGCTGACAAAACAGTGAGATTTTATCTATGTACTCGGTTTGAATATGGGAAATCTGCCAGGACTCTGTGGCTCCAGGATTAAATGTCTCTTATTTGAAAAGAGACTTCTATGGGCAGAGGTTTTTATTTTTTTTAAGTCATACATATATCTTCGGGACAAAGGCTATTTACATAAACTCCAGGCTTAAGTTGAGCTTCTTGGGATCTCAGTTGGCACTTTTTCTTGATGTTCGGCACCCCAAAAGGCTGGTAAATGCATTAGTGAATATTTCAGAGTATTGTATTTCTTCAAGCAGAGCCAAGTAAGAAGTATTCAAATGCCACCCATATCTCAAGTATTCTCATCTAATCTCAGCTCCTAGAGTATTTACGTAAAACATTTTCATTTTCTTGGCAAGGAGCTATGTAAATACATTCAATTTTACCTTTTTTTATACATATGTCCTTGAGACATTTTGACTAATGCGTTAGGTTTAAGAATTTTACTCTCTAACTACATGTGCACAAATATAAACTAATTCCAGAATAAAAGGCTTATCTCAATGATCAGTGACATTTGCATTCAGGAATTATAAGCAATTGAGAATTCATCTACTCCCTATATTGCTAGAAAGAAACTTGATGCATTTTCAACTTACATGTCTTTAATTTGTATTTGTAACAAATTCATATCCCCAACACAGATCAATATTAGTGGACTACTTTTTCAATACAGGAATTCACACAATGCTAGATACTATCTATACCTTAGATAGGGAGCAGGCTAGGAACATTCTCACAGGGTGCCTGTAGAGGGCAAAAGGTGTAACTTTGGGGAGACTTCTCAGGCAGGGAGAGCATGATGGTGACTCAGGGAGGCACATCTGAGGTGGGACTCTGTCCTTATTACCTTGGCTTTTTCCTACTGGAGGGTAGCAGAAAATGTCATCCCCAAATATGACAACTGTAGGAGTTCAGGACATGCCACCCCAAAAGATGCCTCTTTGGGATACTGATTACTTTGAGCTATAGGCACTGAAAAAAAGCAAATTGCAAGGAGAGACTGTCTCTGAGCTCCTTTTATCTGCCTAGAGACATATCCTCCATCAACCAGAAGACTGACTTATCACAGAAGAGACTAGGTGACATCACACCCAGACGAACTTTGTCACAGATTGCCACACCTCCCACTTATTTTTCTAAAGGCCCATTCATTTTCCTTAAAAATTATTTTTAAAAATCATTCTTCCCTACGAAGCCTGTATCCCCTAACCCCTCTGGCCATTTAGAT